CATGAATATTGGTCGGGACATGTCCCTACCGTCCCTACCCAAACCTACGCCCATGGTTCTAGTAGAACTTGGACCGGGTTCTGGACCCGATGGAGGAATCTTCCATCAGGCATTTTGCTTCAGTTTGGGTTTTAATCAGGTTCTGCGGACGGATCGTCTTTGTGGACGGGTTTTAATAAAAACTGGACGTTTATCTGTGAGCTTGTTGACAACCAGAGACAGAATGAGGCCGAAGACAGAACCAGAACCAGAACCTGGAGGTCCAAGTCGGGTTTCTGGACTTCAGGCTTAAGTTTTTAGAACCAAACTAAAACCATCAGGAGTTGTGTTACAAAGTTCTGCTTCCTCCAACTCCGAACCTGAAGCTCAGGACAGAAAGACAGAAAGACCACTCCAGAACCGGGTGGTTGCTAGTCGAAGCTCTCCAGGACGGGCTCGTGACCCGTCTCCCTGAGGAAGCGCAGCAGGTCCTGCGGCCGCAGCCCCATAGTGGCGCTGTTGGTCATTGGGTGGAAGTAGACCAGCTGATGGCCGCCGTCCAGCAGGTCCCGGTCCAGAACCAGCCGCACGCTCCGGTCCGAGTCGAACAGCAGCGCCAGCGCCGAGGCGCAGCCTTGACCCACCTGGCGGGAGAGGAAGACGTTATCCAACATGGAGTCCGCTCCGACCCACCAGAACCGCCATCAGAACCCGGACCTACCTTGAGTTTCTCCATCATGGCGGCCTCGTCGGCGAAGCGCAGGTTGCCGCTGCCGACGCCGAGCTTCTTGGCCAGATCGTTCAGGTTCACCTGCAGACGGACAGACAGAGAGGTCAGACTGGGCCAATCAGAGGTCGGGAGGCGGAGTCAGCCTCACCTGGCGGTCGTGGCGAGCCGACACCAGCCACAGGCCTTTCTTCTTCTTGTCCTTCAGGAAGAGGTTCTTGGTGACGGCGCCGCTCACGTCCTGCAGGTGAGGCATCATCTCCTCCACGGTGAACACCTGCAGCGACGAAGAGGAGGACGACGAAGAGTTACCTGGAGGAAGAGTCACTATACCTGTTCTAGGAGTGAAACTCCTGATCCAGGTTTTCCTTCTGACCCTTTAACAACTTCACGACTTTCAGGATGGGAGGAAACCTGAACTAGAGGCGATCAAACCTCCAGCTTCATTAAATCAACCCCAAAATTACATCAGAAACAAAAATTAATATGAGCTGCTGCTCATAAACTTATTCAGAAATTATCAGCAATAATCTGAGTTATTCAGCCTCTTATAAGACCGGCTAAATTCTCTCATTTCATTTTCCAAAGTCATGTTTTTATCAAGTCATTAATTCATTTAGAAATGTCACAGCTTCAAACTAAATGTTTAATAAACAAGCTAAATTAAATATTTAGCTTCGAATTAAATATTAGTTAGCATAAATGACTGAAATATTTAGTTTGGTAATTAAATGTTTAGCTTTCAACTAAATATTACTTAGCTTTGACAAACTGAATATACCAAACTACAAAGACATATTTATTTAGCAAATACCATAATATAACATTCAGCCAAATATTAGTTAACATCTTCAAACTAAATAATTACCTTGCTAAATACATATTTACCTTGAAATTGTGACATTTATGAATGAATTAAGATCATAGTAAAATTAACACCAGTTTTCCCTCCTATGGAGGCTGAATATCTCAAATTAATGCTGTTGTTATAAACGGAACCAGGTCCAGTTCGCAGAGCTGATCCTGCAGCTTCAACACATGCGGGTCGGTACCGGGCCTCTGCAGCGCTGGATGACCTGCTGGACCCAGCTGCGTGTTGGACTCTAGGAAATCAAGAAGCAGGATAATGGGGTGTGTTATGATGTGGCGCCCTCTCCTGGCCCAGATGGATCAGCGCTACTAAAACGAGTCAGTCATGAAAACTGAAAGTTTCTGAAAAGTTCAGAAAAATAATTTATGTTATTATATTTAGCACATAAAACCTGGTCATTTAGCAGCGATTCAGCAGAAATCACAATGAAGTTAATAAATCTGACATTAAAAAAATGATTCCGTTCGAAAACCTGCAGATTATTGGATTAAAGACGTTTTGCAGCAGAATGCATCCCAGAATAACCTCCCAGCACATGACTGAAGGTGATCCAGATCTGATGAAAGGTTCGGCTGATGAACCGAACCCAGTGGGTCACTCTGTATGTGTTCATGTGGAGAAGCAGAAACTTCATCTGAACTGGAACTGAAGCACAGGAAGGTCCGTGATGCTGAAAGGTGGCGCCGAATTACAGAGCGAGTCAGAGGGCATCGAAATATGAAATTATTATTACCGTCAACTGTTCAAAACGTTCAAATAAGGAGGATTTAGTTTAAAAGACAGAAACGGGACTGGGATTCAACAGGTTCCATCTGCAGGTTCCATCTACAGCCTGAACAGAACCGGTTCCGGTTCTTACCGGAGGATGCTCCACGCAGCTGGTCTGGATGTCCAGCTTCCGCAGGAAGTCCTGCAGCTCGGCCCGCAGGTCTTCACTCATTCTGGGTTCTTGTTCCGATCAATGAGGACCGACTGGATCGGACCCAGAGGCCTCTTCTTCTTCCTCTGTAGCTCTGAAACGCTGCACCGCTGCCCCCTGCCGGCGGCTGCAGGTAACACATGGAGCCTCCGCCTGACTGGAGTTATGAAACGGAACCATTAAGCCTGAACTCTGACCCAGTTCGGCTCCTGAAACCATCAGTCTGATGAACATTATGAAACTGCAGAGATTCAGGTCATGTTCTACAAACTCACCTTGACCAGAACCAGAAACCCAACAGAACCGGGACAAGGAACAGACAAGATCCAAACTAGACCCAGGAGGAACCAGAACCAGAACCTCCAGAGCAGAGAGAGGAACGGGCAGGCGCCTCGGTCCGGACTCCAGGAAACGAGAAAAATCTTTTATTGTCCCAAAATGGGGAAAATTCTCCACAACAGCAGCAAAGAGACAAAAAGCAAACAGAGAATAAAACCAGTAAAAAAGAATAAAATAAAAACATGAGGGGGACATTTCTTACATTTCTCAAAAATGATTAGAAATCCAAAATGTTTTTAATAAACCTGCATCTGAACTGACCACCTGCAGCTGCTCTCTCATCAACATTTAAACTATTAATTATTATTTTCCCAGTCCCTCCACAAGCTTCTCTCCCAGTAAAACCAGTATTAATGGAACCACAGAGTTTAGATTTTATTTAAAGTTTTGATATTTAACGTCCAACTTTATGATTTCTGGGTTTATTTATCTAGAAATCTGCCGCATTAATAAGATTGGATTAATTAGATTAAGACTGATCATTTCGGAGATCATTTTTTCAGATTTTATTTATGATTTCAAACCAAAACAAACATTTTTATTGAAAAGTAAACTCGTTCCTCGGTGGAGGAACATCTGGATCCTCTGGATGTTTTTACAGATGTTCGTCGTCGTGGCGTCCTGATCTGCCACCAGCAGGAGGGACGGGGTTCTGATCGGTTCTGATCCAACATCGGGAACACAGCTGGCTGCCCGACCAGTGAAGCTTCGAGCTCCACCAAACAGAACCAGAACCTGCAGAAACGGACCAGAACCTTCAGGGGAACCCCAGAGGGTTTTCTGCTGCGTTCAGGTAAAAACAGATCTTTAGGTTTGCTGTGGCGGCGCCGGGGCGAAACACGACCCACACGGAGGCTCAGGCGGCGGCCGCAGGTTCGAGTCCCGGCCTGGCCGCATGTCTCCCCCCGCTGTCATTACCCTGTTTGCTGTCGGACTACTTCCACATAAAGGCCACCAACACTGTAAAAATAGATAATTATTTTCTCCTTTAGTTCTGATTAATTTTTCCTCCTTTATGTTGAGATTCATTTTGATCTCCTGAATGTTTTATTGTCACATTTTGACAGTTTTTCCTCTGTATTTATCACATTAGTTTTTCTCTCCAGATTAAATTTATGATTCGATGAATTGCTGATAAAAATTGAAAAACTATTAGATTTAAGAACAGATTCCTTGCAGCGCGGTGAGAGCATATGCGGCCTGACCTTTGGACATCACCTTTATGCTGATGATGTGCTGGTAATGGCTCAGCCTGAAACATCCACACCCTCCCTCATTGAGACACCAAGAAATTCAGTGACATTTCAGGTTATAAAATCAATTTCAACTAATCAGAGGTTATGCCTTTAGGTATCTTGAAACAAAAACCCCAGACTGCCTCTCCTTCCCCTTTCAGTGGCTCCTAGAGCGTTTTGTGTATTTAGGGATCCAGATCACATCCGCTTTTGATCAGATGTATAAAAGTAATTTCACCCCCTGTCTGAGCGTGTTCGATTGGACCTGGAGATATGGAGGACTTATCTTGGCTCGGCCTGTTGCCCTTCTGAAAATGTTTCCAGAAGGGCAACACATGTCTGATTGGTTCACCTTTCTCACCTGTTGTCCAGGTTAGAGCGCGGAGGGGCGGGGCCAGAGGAAAAAGGGGGCGGGGCTCCAGAGAGAGAGAGAGAGAGAGAGAGAGAGAGAGAGAGAGAGCGGTGGATAGCAGTCCTCCTCCTCCTCTTCCTCCTCCGCCGCTGCCGCTGCTGGCCTCCCGCGGATCCAGCTCCTCCTGCGGACTCCACGCGCTCCGGACACTCTGGCGCTGTCCACGGTTCCCGCGTGGAGCGAGCCAGGCTCGGCTCAGCGGATCCACGATCTGCACCTCCACGGAGTGGCCGGACCCACGGTGAGCAAGTTCACTGGGATCAGAGGAGAGGAGAGAGGAGGGGAGATGATGGAAGAGAGTTATATCAGGTTTAGATCAGGTTTAGATCAGGTTTAGATCAGGTTTAGATCATGCCAGGCTGCAGGTTTTGATCAGATGAAATGATTTGATTCACTCTGACATCAGAGATCAGGAACTGAAGATCAGATTGAATTTATTTAAATGAGGAAATCTTCCTTTAATGATTATTGAAGGCAGGAGATCAGGAGGTTCAGATGTTTAGTTTCATCTTCTTTCTTTATTTTTTTCAAGTTTATTTTTGTTTTAAATTGAGACTAAAGATAAGGGCAACAGAATAAAAACATAGTTAGCAATGGTACATCTTCTTTCTAATCACCTGGATTAGAACTTTAATCTATTGAACTGGACCAGTAGAACTGGACCTGCTCATTCAGTTGATTCACCTATATTCAGAGTTTTTGGTTCTCAGGTTCTCTGTCTCTGTGGGTTTCCTCCTCTTGTTGCTCAGTGGGTCCAGTTTGGGTTCACCTTGTTGCTCCAGAACCTGCAGAACTCCGGGTTCAGGCTGTCCTCTCCAACCGCTGCTCTCTTATTGACATTTGTTCTCAGAACATCAGTCGATGCGTTGCTGAAGCTCAGTGATTGCTGCTCCACAGCTTCCTGCCAACTTTCCACTGCCTGGCTGCTGGTTCTGGTTCTGTTCTGATTATTTGGACCATCAGGTCTGAATGTGAACTTTATCAATAATTCTGTTTAAAAGGATAAACATTCAGCCTGTCTTTAGGTCACGACTTGTAACAGAACATCGGTGCTGATTCAGGTCCTGAATTTCCTGATGAGGGCTAAATGGGCAGCTGCCCAGGGTGGTGTTAGACACGGGCGTCTGAGAAATAGAAAGTAAAACATATCTTATCTCGGTTGTTTCTGAATGTTTTGTTAGTATTTGTATACATGTGCAGCAGAGGAGTGGGTCCTGCTGAGTACCTGGACATTAGGGTGATTGCCTCAGGGCGGCAGGAAGAGGGGCGCCATATCTGCAGCCTCCACTGATTGTGACAGAAAAGATTTAACTGTAGACACGTCACCACGGTGACCCTTGACTTGCAGAACAACATGGTTCTTCTTGCTTAGTTATATTCCATATAAATGATGTAACTAGTTCTCACCACTAGCTAAAAAGTTAGCTGTGGAAAGCTAAAAGGAAAGTTGTATTTCCTTTTAATTCATGTAAAGCACTTTGAATTGTCTTGTTGCTGAAAATGTGCTATATGAATAAAATTACCTTACCTTACCTGTGCTAATGCTAATGCGCTAATCACAAACATTACTTCTGCTGGCATAAAAGTGCTACAACAACATGGCATGGAGTGGAAGTTAATGCTAATGCGCTAAACTTAACCACGTTGATACCCACCAAGTGTCACAAGGAGAACGTGAAGAGAGGAAATGGAACTGCTGCGTAAACACATTTCAAAATAAGAGCATCAATATAAACCTCTAACTACTTAAAGAGTAATTAAACACAGATGTCAGACTTTATTCAACTGAAAACTTTCTAATCAACTGAGTAAATTAGCGCTTTAGAAATTATGCTGAAAAATTAACTTAGAGGAAACTAAGTATGCTAAATGTGTATAAAGTTATAAAAACGCTAAGCGAAAAATTAGCTCCACTATTAGCAAATTAACTGTTAGCACCATTAGCGAATATTAAATTGTTCAGGTTGGAGCAGATATTTATGAGAGTCATCAGTAAACATCCTGCTCCCTGCAGACGCTTGTGGTCCGGTCCAACATGACCAGAACTGAACCGGTTCTGACTCAGAGAGGTTCTTAGTTTGACAATCCTCAGGCAGAACAGAGCAATTTATCTGGACCAGAACTCTGTAGAGTTTTTGAATAAATAAAATGGAATCAATAAATTCTCTGCTGGCATCTGGAAAACATTTCAAAAATCTCAAAACTGTTGAGTCACAATTTGTTACCTAGCAACCCCGAGCCAAGTCCAGCCCCTCACCTGGCAACCAGGTGGAGCTCCGCCCACCTCCTTCCTGACGCTAAGCTATCGTCGCAATGACGGCCGGAGAAGGAAAATGTTGTTTTATCGGCTGTAGTGCAGATTCCAGTTATTTTCTCCCAGTTACGGAGAATAGAGCCGCGTCGCTTCATTTCAAGCAGAGACATTTGTTTGCATTTTGCGATGTTGCCAAAGAAAGTTGTAGTTTAGCAGCTGAGTTCAGGAAGGATGAAAAGTATCAACGTGGTAGGATTTACCGGGATACTGGTACTGAAGCTTCTGTGCTTCGCTAATCTGCGGATGATGTAAGTTTATAATGGTCTGTTGAGTGGTTTTGTTGTTCATTTGTTGAACATTATTTGTCAGTTAGCATAAGCTAACGCTGAATGCTAGCCCGTGCTAGTCCCATTTCTGACGTCACGTTACTCACAAATATCTACTGTCGAGTTAAACTGTTTGTTTGTGAAAACATGTCGGACACCTGGACATTACCGACACTTTTTTTTAAATTATTTTTTATTGTTTTACATATTGAGAGAAGTGCTTCTTCTCTAACCTCGTAAATTTTGAAAACCGTTTTTTTTTTTTTAATTATTGTGCTAAATGTAATGAACATGTTTTGTTTAGGCCATTTAGACCTTAAAGCCTGGACTTCCTGCTTCACTTCAGGCATCGTTTCTAAAATGGCCGCCTGTAATAATTTGCTGATATTTGATGCAGCTCCAGTTGTTCACATCAGAGCTGCTTTAATCATCCGGTGCTCGGGTTCTGGTTCTGGTTCTGCCCACATTCCTTCATGGCTGCAGCTTATTTCAGGGTCGCTGTGTCAGCAGCAGTGAGGCGTGAAGGGTCTGGGCTTTTCTTTTATTCCTCACCAGTTAAACCAGTTGAACCAGTTAAACGTTCTGAACTGGACTTTATCTGTAATAAAACAGCCTGATTGAGGCTGACCTTCCAGCGTTGTGCCAGTAGGAGGCGCCATTGTGGCTGCTGACCCAGAGAAGAGAAGCAGGCGGTTCCGACCCGTTGGACCTGCCGGTCCTCCTTCTATGGAGCTGTTTGAGCTCCTCCGAGTCGCTCACATTCCTGCAGCCTCAGCGGCGCGTTAACCCACCGGGTCGGCTGCGGCACCGGACTGGGAGGTCTCCGTGGAAACAGGAAGATTAGTCACGGTTTACTGCAGAACCCTCTGATCAGCCGCCGAGGTCCTAGTTAAAGGAAACATGTTGATTTTCATTTTACAATCCAGATCTGAAAAGTGTGGAGTGCATCTGCTTCCAGTCTGGGTCCAGAACTCTGTAGAACCTCCTCCAGTACAGAGAGGTGTGTTCTGATTGGCCAGCAGTTTGTTGCCATGTTTTACAGAAAGGTGGATATTTTCCTTCAACTGGTCGACTTCCTGTATCTGGGTTTTATCTCCGTTTGTCCGACTTGGTGAGGAATTCTGAACATTTTTATGATTCTTACCTAAATAACTCCAAAGATGGATGAAAACTCATCATCTGCAGACAGGTGGCGATCTCTGTGAAAACAAAATGGAGGATGCAGAAAGATGGTGGAGAAAACACTTTAGTGTTTCTGTTTGTTGTTCAGACCGGAGTAGATCATGAGGATCCTCTGCTCACCGATCGAAGCAGGAATCGTTTTAAATCAAATCTTCTCCCCAAAGATCTGATTCAAATGTCAGACGGTAAAATGTTCCCTCAGCAGCGAGGAAGTAGAAGCTGCTAATGTGTGCTAGCACTAGCTAACCTGTTCAACTGACAGATGTTGTATTCTAGTGCTTGGCGCCCCTTTCTGATAGCGCCCTGGGCAGCTGCTCATGAAGCCCATTTCAGAACCTGTTCAGATGTGTAAAATGTTTCCCATGTGGCTGTTCCGGTGAGCAGAACCTCCAGAACCAGCCGGTGCAGAGGGGTTCTGCCTCAGAGGTAATGATGCAACAATCAGACGAGTCGGGAGGAATTCAGCTCCAAGGTCTGCAGCGATGATTCACCTCCAGAGCGGCCGCTTCATTCAGCCGCTTCGTCCAATCCTGACTCCAGTCCGAAGAAAACATCTGGAAAATGTTTAAGAACATTTAAAAACATCGGAAAACGTCTGAAACTGTCGGAAAACGTTGCGCTCCCTGCTGGTCGAGCTCCTCTGTCTCTCTAGCATTCTGGCTGCTGTGTCGCTCTGCGTCTCGCTGACCTTTGACCTTCTGTCCAGCAGTCAGGACGGATTAGGAAACCTCTGGGCAAAGACAGGAGAGGGCCCGACCCGCTGAGACGGGAACATCCAGAACAGAACCGGGTCGGAGCGGGATGTTTGACCCAAACAGAACCAAACAATCTGATTATTGAAAATAATGTAATTTATTACTTTAAAACTGTAAGTATTTGAAATGAAAACCGACTCTAATCCTAATCTGACCTCTCAGATTAGACCAGATTTAAATCCAAATTTAAAACAAAACAAACATTAAAAACTCTTCTTAGTTTTGGATCAGCAGAAGTTTTCACGCCTCTACAGAAAACCTGACGACTTTATTTGATCAGTTAAAGTTTAGTTTTGAAATTCCAGAATAACCATTTATTCACCTGATGTGACGTCAGAAGGATGGACTGAACCTGACAGCTGGTCCTGAGGCGGGACAGGAGGAAGATTATGGTGAGGAAGACGATGCTGTCGCCGCATGTCGAGCCTCGCCACTGGTTGCTAGGATACCAAGGTTACAGGCTCTGCCTTGATTTATTGGACGTTTACTGCGATGCATTCAGGGCCTGCGTGTAAATCTGATGTCTGACTGACTGGAGGACCGACTGCAGCACCTGAGAGGCCGAGGATGAGGAGGACATCTTCATCAGTTGATCAGCTAATCAATGTTTTTCTTAATTGTTTTGACAAGCAGAGACGTATGTAAACTTCTGACCCGGCGTTGGTTAACGAGGACAGGTCTGGTGGGGCAGACATGAGCAGAAGAGTGCAGAGCTGATCAATCTGATGATCAGATCTCATCCATCAGTAATTAACTCCGACTGCTGAAGGTCAATCAGCTCCTGATGAGGTCAGCAGACATCAGAGGGAAACAGACGGAGATTAGAACCATCTGCAAATCAGAAGGAAAATTAATCTCACAGCAGATTCCTCAGAGTAACGATCAGATCTGTTCAGCAGGAAGTTTACCAACTGAAAAAAACTAAACTTCGACTGACAGCCTGAAGGTTTCAGCTAGATGAAGCTAGCTGTAACGCTGTGTTTCTACTCCAGGTGGCGATGTAGCCTCAGCTAGCTGTAACGCCGTGTTTCTCCTCCAGGTGGCGATGTAGCCTCAGCTAGCTGTAACGCCGTGTTTCTCCTCCAGGTGGCGATGTAGCCTCAGCTAGCTGTAACGCCGTGTTTCTCCTCCAGGTGGCGATGCTGGCTCCGCCCCCCCAGCCGTTCCCCACTGTGGACGTCCCTGACCACGCCCACTACACCATCGGCTCCGTCATCCTGGCCATCGGCGTCACGGGCGTGGTCGGGAACTTCCTGGTGATCTACGCCTTCAGCAGGTAGAGAGAACATTTCCTGCGACCAAATATGGCCAAATCTGTCCAGTGGTTAATGAAGGCCGTCAAAACGTTGTTACATTTTAATTTAAATGTTTGTGATCACCTGCTTGGTTTAATAAACTAATAATTTCATAATTACATTACAAAACAGGAAGCTGGATGTTTTTTCTTTGTTCTACAAAGGTAGTATAGATAAAGAATTTAGCATTTGCCACAACTTTATTTTTTTACTTACCTATTAAATTAAGAAAAAAAAATTAATAATCTTCCTGAATCCAATTGGCTGAGCGACTTTTTTTGTTTCACATTTTGAAATTATTTAATTTAAACTAAATTTGGAGGATTTTTTTCACAAAAAAAAAAAGAAGAGCTTAGATCTGAAGGAATTTATTTGTGAAAATTAAAAGGAGTAATTTTTCTCACAACAGAAAAATTCCTCAAGAAAAAGCCCAGATATCAGAGATGTGTTGCAAGGGCGTAGATCCATCTCATTCCTGGGGGGAACCATAAACAGGAACATTTCTTAAGACCAGTTTTGGGGGCGGGGTTGGCAAAGTTACAGTGAAATGTAACGTAAAATGTTTAAAGAGTTTTTAAACCACATTCAAGCTGCAGGACCAAAAATGGCTAGTGATGCACATCAAACGTGTTTTTCTCAGTAAGCTTCCTATTGAGAAATTAAACTAAAATTTAAATGTTGCTTCTATGCGAGTTTTGTTCATTCTGACTGATCTGATCTCTGCTACACCTTTGCAAAAATGTAAGGTTCTAAATAAAAAAAAAGCTTTAATGAGTAACTATTAAAATTCCCCATAAACATTGATTTATTGAAATGGCTCCCAATACAAGTTATGGCCTATTTAAATTATAACTTGTTAAGCTGCTTTATTTTTAAGCCTTTTTTAAATTATGGCATGTCCTGGATGACTGAGAACAAATAAGCAGATATAAATGAATATCTGGGAAGTATCATAACTTAAACATAACATTTAAAGCACCAAGGTTTATATAGAAAAATATTCAGATTTTATTTTGTGGTTTTAAAGGCTCTATATTGAAGACAAAGAAATAAAGGCATAACTTTGTTTTTTTTTTCTATCTGTTCTCGGCTCCCACTCTGAGCTGGTCCACCTGCTCAGCCCCTCCCTCCCGTTTCAATCTCTAATTAACTAAAACTTAAAGAGTTAAATATGAATGAGATGTTTGCTACCTTTGACAAAAAAGCTTAAGTTTATGAAAGCAGTGTAGCAGTTTAGCTAATGAGGTAGCTCATCACGATTCAGCCAAAGTAAGAAAATGACGAACTGCAGTCTGATTTTTATTGTTAATGTGTTTATTCTTATTGAGTAGTAAAAGGTGTTGCATGTTTTTTAAATATTTTATATTTTTAAATGTTTTATGTTTGTGCTGCGGAGCCACAGCTAACAGCTAGCTCCTCTCTGCAGTGGCTCTAATTCAGCGCTGTTGTTGCTGCGCCTACACTTTGGACTGAACCATTGTTCTAATAATGGTGGGGGGGACCTAAAAAAATTATTTTTTTCTGAGATAAATGGCAGATTTAGTTCGTTTTTTGTTTCTTTTGCCTTTTCATATTGAGATTATTTAAATGCAAACGTTTCTTTAATGATTTGTTTTGGGGGGACAATTCTAGACTTTTCCAAGACTTTGGAAACCCCAAACCTCCCTGGGATTTACGCCTATGTGTGTTGATGAACAGGTGTTTGTTCTGTTAAGGAGTCACCTCCGTTTATCGACCCAGCCCATCCATCTCTCCTCAGCGAACATCTTTGTTTTTAAGGAGCGATTCGATCGGCGAATTCGATCCGTCCTCCTTGGAAGTCCGGCCGGTTTCTGACGTCCGCTTCATCGATCCGACGTTTATTTAGAGGAAAACCAGCAGATTTAATTCTGATGGTTCTGATCCAGAATCCTTTCATCAGATCCACGAACCGAGTTCATCCTGAAATTAAAATAGAAACCCAGAAACAAACTGAAAACCTGAAATATTCACATTAATACTGTTACATTTACATCTTTAAAGTTAAAAAAATGATGAAAAGAGTTAAAATAAATGTATCTAAATATAAAAATTGATCAGATCTGCTGTTATTGATCTGGTTTGATTTGTGTCTTTTTTTTTTATCTTCAAGGAAATATTTTATTTTTGCAGATAAACTTTTAAAACTGATTTGGCAGAAATCCTGAATTTAACCTGGAACTACGGGGCTAAATCAACACCAAAAATGTTACAGCATACCTGGGAAAAAATAATAACTTAAGGAAAAAATATCAAGTTTTGATCTTAAAAATAAAAATGTATATTTATTTTATCCAATCTGTAAAGTTTACATTATTTTTGTTGTAAATACATTTCTGTAGTTTTCTCAGTTCAACATCAAACCTCTGTATTCAGTTTTAACATTAATTTTAATCTATTTCTTGAAATGATAAACATTTCAGGATTTCTGGCCCAGATTTGGTCAAAACATTTAAATTCAGCCAAAAATCTGCTGAAAATATGAAGAAGTTCAGATGATTGACTGAGAACGTCCATTAAAAACAAACTGTTAAAAACCAAATTATTCAAACCAAATGAAACATGAAATATTTTCAAAACCTTTTAAATCTGTAAATATTTCCCTAAAAGCATAGACGCGCCCCCTGCTGGCATAAATGTGCATTAATATGATGCAAGAAAAGTTTTTTTTTCATTTATTTATGTATTTCTTTATAGTTCTATTAGTTTTTATTTATATATGCATTTGTTTTTTTTTGTTTTTTGTTTAAAATTTTAATTAATTTTATTTGTGTAAATGTGGTTAATTTATTTTGTTAATTTTGTATTGCATTTTCGTATTATTGTTTATTTACTTTATTTCTGTGCTTCCTGCAGGAGCCGCAGCCTGCGCACGCCGGCCAACATGTTCATCATCAACCTGGCCGTCACCGACCTGCTGATGTGCCTCACCCAGTCGCCCGTCTTCTTCACCACCAGCATGAACAAGAGGTGGATCTTTGGAGAGAAAGGTAACCATGGCAAACAAGGGAGGGGCCCTTCATCCAACACCAGGGGGCGCTACAGAGTGGTGGAGTTTATGTCTCATAAATGACTGGATCATTTTTTCAGTAATTTCAAAAGATTTTAGCAGTTTCTGGATTCTCAATTTTCTGCCAGATATTTGTCATTTGGTCGCCATGGTTACAGAACTGACTGCTGAACATGGCGCCGGTTAGAGAGCAGTTACAGAGGCAGAACACCAGGGGGCGACAAACTAGAAGCGCTTCCCCTGACTGGTTCCTCGCTGCTTCCTCGCTGCTTCCTCACTGCTTCCTCACTGCTTCCTCACTGGTTCCTCACTGCTTCCTCACTGGTTCCTCACTGGTTCCTCACTGCTTCCTCACTGGTTCCT